TTGAGCAAATAGGTAATTAAGTTAAGCCACCTTTTCAAAACAATTTCACGCCGATAAAAATAATTTCTCTGATTAACGTAAACGCATGGGTAATTAATTGGAATTGCAGTGATTTGCATAGGTCGCGACACGATACGGGATTCCCTCTCTTTTGAATGCGGAACTAAATAACTGAATGGTAAAAAGAATCTATTTTTTCTTCAATGATTAACTGATTTTATTAGAAAAATGGAATTTCTGTACGTACGTGTTTACATTTTTTTTTTTTTTTTTGGAACCAACATTTACTTATATGCATTACATATCGGGTTTACCGGGCAATTGCAAAATTACCAAGTTTTAATTAATAATCTGATATTATTCTAATAAATATGCATAATGGACATATGATCAATGATTAATTGAAATGAAATTGAAAATGTTCAAACATGAAGGCAATGTTTTCGCAATTCATTTCTTTGACAATAAATATCAAAAAAAAAAAAAAAACATCACACGCTGAGGAACGAACAATCACTGCCTGTTGAGGTAATTAAAAAACATTATTAGACATTAAAAAAGGTACAAAGTACATTAGCAGTAATAAAATGTGATCATAAAAATAATAGAACCGGTGCGCGATTCCATATTGTTCTCTTTTGACTTCTGGTATTTAACCGATTATCGGAGGCATTGTATGTGAAAGAATGATTTTATGGCCAACTGTTCGTTGTAGGTCTTTAGCTTTTATAATACTCTCCTATTCTTGGAAGCGCTTAATTCGATTTATTTTAGAGATGAACTTTTTTGCAAGGGTATGAGGTGTGAATTCGATACCTGATGTAGGTAGATTCAAGATAGGTTCAGAAGAAATAATATTTTTGATTGTGAATTATTGCTATTCATAGATAATATGAAAGAAGAAAATATACAGCATCATTATCAAAATACAAGTTGTTCAACGAGTGAATAACACCCTAGGCGTATGATTTACTTCGACTTCGAAGCTACAATATTCTTCTGTTAGATCAGCATTTCTTCCCCTAGGATCGAAATCTATTTCATTTAGCTTACGAAAGTTGTCTAAAAAGCCCTAACTGTTGATGAAAATGTTTGTTTACTTCCAAATAATTATCAATTGTCAACACTTACGAGTCTCGTATTTTCCATTATTAAACATTCTGCAACATCACAGATCACTTTCACACCCTTTAAATCGCTTTTTCACCCTTATTTCCACTAATATTTACATTTTCCCAGCTATTTATTTTCCCCGAATAAGTGTGGTTATGGGACACTTGTTGATTCTTTTCAGGAAGCACTGTTGCCGATGTTTCTTGTCCATTGTTGCTATACCGTTGCTATCACGGAACAGGTAATTATTTTGATGGTTTTTAGACTAAAAACCGGGTAAATGATGATTATTAATCAATTAATTAATGTTAGGGGAGAAAATTAGGTAACAACTTTGAGTTTTGTTGGTCATCAATGTGGTTTGGGTTGTTCGTTTCAAGCTATTTGTTTCGTTTTCCAGGTCAAGACCGGAAATCTGGCACCAGAGGGCATCTTGGAAAAAAATAGTATTCTGGTAAATTTCTTATATGAGCCCAGCTGGTAAATGACTAAAATAGGGTCGTTCTCTTTAAATTCGCACGTTGAGCAAGCAACAAGTTGTATGGCAGATTTTACCAGCGGTCCTCTTTGCTGCGTTACTTGGAAAATCCACCTTTTGTGGGATTTTAAAGGCGTTGGGAACTCAAGTGGTTGCTAGCTTAATTGGTTTTGGGGTGAAAACTTGGATTTGGTTGTAAATCCCCGTATTTGTAAGTCAACCACTCAGCATTTTCTGGAGACGAAAATCTACGCCATCTTGTTGAATTGTCGGTGCGAGAAGCAAGCACCTTTTGTTCAACTGAGCTCGAATTGTAACCAGGGTTTTAGGTTTTTAGGTTTTACTTTTACCATTGCGTTTTTCCTTTTCGACGTTTTGCTAACGTTTCGAAGGTGAGGTGTCAGAGTACCCACAACACTAAACTGAAACCGAAATTTAACCTTTTTAGGAAGGGAAGTCAAAAGAAGTTGATGGGGTGCGTTATCTAGGCTGTGAGGCTGTCATGAGTAATGTAAATGGATGTTTAGACTGCAGGGGGGACCACAAGAGGATGATTTACCTGTTGTTTTATTAACGTTTCTTAATTATTTTTCGAAGTGAAAACTTCTTTAGAATCATTGGGAGTGATTTGAGATTTGATGAAACGAAAAAGCGACACTAAAAAGAGACAAACATATAAATCTATGGGATTTACCCTGCAAGAGAATGAGATACAATACAGTACAGCGATTCCTATTCTCAGTTTCCTCTTTAAGCGGTGCTTCGTAGCCCTCTTCACTCTTGTATACCAAGCGTTGTACGTATGTATGTTACTATGTAGTTCAATGAAGGTTTCACTTCTATCGGATGTGAACTGCACAAATATATATTTTTTAAAAAATTATTATTGATAGTAATCACATTTAACTTGGTAGATTTCCAAGTTTTTTTTACCGTCTTCATTATTACAATGGGTGTACTGTACGAATGATTATTAATTTACTATATTTAAGGTGACATTTTTCTACAAACCCGCCCCAGTAGACCATGGTATAAGCGTGCACAGGTTTTAATTAATATATTTAATCGTTTTATTCCTTGATTGTTCTCTTTTACTCTCATTATCATTTATTGGTAAATTTGAATTTATTGGAGTAGCTTATAAGACCAATACAAATAATTGGTCCTTGTTACCTTTTGGTAATTTTGACATTTACATTTAATACTAATACATACTGTGGTATTTTATACTAAACTGCTGGACAAATGAAACGGATCAAGCTAATTTTTAGTTTAACTTGGGATTCCAATATTATGCGAACTAATGAGGATATCAATGAGTGATTTGCGTAATTTAGAAGTTAATTTTCGCAAACCGCTCACTGATATGTTTTTTAGTTCGTGTAAAATTGGAATTTGAAGTTAATCTAAAAATATGCTTGTTCCGCTTCAATTGTCCAGCAGTTTATATTATCTTCTATTGGCCTCTGGAATGCAATTGCAAATTTAAACTTACACCCTTCCCCCAGAATATATTAAATAGATTTAAACTCATTGTTTTTATATTTGACTCTTATTTTACCCCTACTGACCTCAACCAAACGAAGGAAAGTTGTTTTTAAATGATAGGTACATCAGGTGGGAATATCTATTGGAGATCAGGGACTTTCTGGTTTAAGTCCGCGGATTTTATTTTGTAAACCAGTGGTGCCCTATAAAGTTAAAACTATATGATGAACCTACTCTCACACCACTAAGTAGCCGCGAGCATATCGTTGTGCTGGCCGCATTCCTTAAGGGTGTCTTAGTGTACCTAGGCCTATTAAGGTTTATTTATTCAAATTTAGTTCTCATTAGCAACATTTTGGCGCCCAACGTGGGGCCAAAATATTGCTCTATGTACCAACACTTGCGAATTTTATCACAAACCTGTTTGCATCGATGGAGTAATGAAATACAAGTAAGAACTAAATGGTACATAGAATAATCTGGTGGTAGGTGATTTGGTTATCCTTAAAGATAATAATTTACCACCATTACAATGGAAATTAGGGAGTGTAGTTAAGACCTGTGAAGTGAAACGTGGCATTTCGCAATTATGTTGTCTATCAACCAATGAAATCGGAGTATGTGAAACTTAGTTTAATTGGATAATTGAGAGTAGAATAATCAGGTTAAATGAAAATTTGAAGGTATGTTTAGTTTTAGTTACGGATAAACCTATCGAACTTTATATCATTGAAATCAGCAAAAGCAGATCTTTGCAATAAGCTAATGATAATTTTTTTTCTATTTCTAAAAATAAGGGGTGTTTCCATAAGAAAGTGTCGAATTGGGACCACCCTGTACAATGTACATTAACAATTTATTCAAGTAAGTACTAAGAAGTTGAAATAGATCGAAGGATGGGCAGTCTATGGAAAGCTGACGAAGATCTCAAAATCGAAAATACCATAAAACTTTTTAATGGAGAATCATGGACTTTAAGCAAGAAAATACTCGCAATAAAAAGAGCAATCGAATAGAGTATGTTGGAAGACAGAAAAATAAGTCACTAGACGAGAAGTGGTACAGAGAGCTTCAAAAAAAACCGGTCTGACGTTATGATGATATGAGAGACAGCTGGCATAAGTTGGTACAAGGCAGATCAGAAAAAGAACAAATGGATAACGGCTATGGATAACTAAGTAGTTCTCAATACTTCATTGATTTAATATCAAAGTGACTTACTTCTGTTTGTTTGTATCTACTATGTGCGGATTGTATTTGTATAACGTCCCTGGAAGCAGATTTGAGTTTCCTTACCATGCTAAACTAAGAAGAAATATTATCAAAAACTAATGATATCTGTTATGTTATCTTGTTAATAAAATATGCGTCTAGCTATAGATCTTCAACTGAAATTTATGTGCAAACAAGATTAATAATAATGACAACCATATGACAACCTTTGTTTTTTACAAGTTCCTGGAGAACAACTCCACTGGCAACGTGACTAGTGTCCATCAAACATCTGAACCAAGTCTATGAAGCAACGTGACACATTGCAACAGAGTTCTTAACAGAACAATATCTACCTGAGCTGCCTCCTAACAAGTGTTTGTTAGTTTGACTTTTTTCTCAAGTTCCTAGACAACAACTCCATTGGCAACGTGACCATATGTATAATTTTTCAATTTCTGAAAGGAAGGAAATGTTGTGGTCTTGATTCCAAAAAAACTATTCCGGAACTAAATAGCAAAATCGATGAACAATCACGGGACCGCATTTTTTTCGTTACCGGTACCCAAAGCTGTCATCCTCCGGGATAGTGTGGGAAACCTAGGAGCCATTGAATTGATGCAAATGACGCAAAGGTGGCGCGTGGTGGGGGTCTATTATAAAATCAAGCCGATCATAAGGATAATTTCAGAAACGACACAAACGAGACAAACGATAAAACGAAAATCGACGACGAGATACAGATTCTACTCGAAACCGGCGCGCGTATTTTTGAATGAATCATACTCCGATATTGCCGAACGAAACACTAGACGAGAAGCAATAGATTTTTAGAGTAACTGCGTTTACACGAGTGACTTTTTAGTCTGTCGGATTATCAGTGCGTTATTTTTTTTTTTAATTTTTACTAAATCAGTATTGTGCATTATCACATGGCTGGAGTATTTTCCATTGAAGGATCGCTTGAAGCAAAAGGTAAGAATTTTGAAATTTTCATTATTTTTACTCAATACAATCTTTTCTATGTTTTTTTTTTTATAATTTAATTTATTTATTTTCACTAGTAAAGTAACACCAAGAGTTTTTGAACAAATTCATTATAAATCTCCCAAATAATTATACATTAAACAATAAATGATTTGAGCTTGAGCAATCAACTCAATCATGACCTGGGTCAAGTCAATTGGGAAATTATTTATATATCCGTAATATAATAAATCAACTATACATTTTTTTTTATTACAAAGTATCATTATTGATTAACTATAAAGCTTGGTATGTTATTTTTGTAATTATAAGAACGAGTTTTGAAAAAGTATATATTGTAGTATCAAAGTCAATTTTCATTATTAAAAATAATAAAAAACATTCCTAACAAAGTTATTCTGTTTCCCAATTAAATAATTACTGGCTATAATAAGGTGTCAGGAAAATCCCATTTACAATTTAATTTTAATAAAAATCGAACACGCATCCAAAAGTATATAAATTTAAATACATCAGGAATCAATGATATCCTAATTAACTCCTACGCTATGCAATAGTAATTTACTTTATGACACGTTTAATTCCTCATTATGACTCACTTCAAAATTATTAAACATTTTAGCACAATTTTGTGAAATTTTTCTAGAGGTGGTTTCAAATAAAAATTTAATACCGGCACAATAGGAAACCGAATATGATTTTGTTATTTCCGTTAGTATTGAGCTATATTTTGTTTAAATAAATAAAAGATCTCGTTGAAAGTAAAAACAGTTATGTTATTACACGCTAATAAGGTAATAAATTAATGTATTGTCATCATCTAAACAAATAAGATAATGTTTGACATTTTTTAAGTGGACGTTCAAGAACAAGTGCAGACATGTTAAGGAAAAAATTTGATCATCAATCATGAATTATTCAGGAAAAATACCATTTCCCAATAATTAAATGAAAATAATTATTTTGCATGAAACTCACATAGTTTACCAATAATAACTATAACGTAACTACCTGGAGAATCCCCTTGAATCAAAGTTCAACGATTTTTGCTTGAAATTTTTATCGCACAGCAAACAGATTCGCACACTTTTAATTGTATATTTTTGTTCCATTTGTTTATTTATGAGTGATACCTATAATCAAGATAAAGATGACTTGTTTTTAAATAACTTTGTTTCAAAAGATATCTTAACTAATTAATATAGTAAATTCCATTTATCAAACATCCACCCTCGCCAATGATAGAGCACATTTCGACTGGCGACATATATTCTATCATAAACAAAGTTCCAAATTTATATAATCTGTACAGAATGAGTAATACTATTTCCCAATGTTTCCCTAGACATATTTCATTCATCTTCCGGTTCATTCATATTTTTTCACGTGGGTGAACATTGTTTTCTTAGAAAATTATTCCGATATATTATAATCAGAGGAAATTGTTTAAAATTTGAAACGAAAATCCCATTGCCTATTAGTTGTTACGTTAGTAGAATCATGTAGGATTTTTCACTCACATAATAACTAGGTTAATGATTATAAAAAATTTAAAGTAAAAAGTAATTTCTAATTTCCACCCTCCTTTTGGGAAGTTTTGTCCCATTTTGATATGGATAAGATATAAATTATGATTTATGCCTACCTTTTTGTATTATGAGTTCTGTTACCTTCGGTACCACGAATGCTTTGATTTTTCAGGATTTTTCCTAGTTTGATTGAATGAAAGTAATTAAACTTTAAATAAAAGAAAATGAGTATTATGTATGTTCGAGTGAAAAGGTAAAAAGTTTGTTGTCTGCTGCCCGAACTCCAGTCAGCGTGCGAACAAAACTTACTTTGCGCACTTGTTAGGAAATATACTATTACAGAACAAAACTTCAAACTTACACCTATTTAGCTGAATGCGTTACTGAATGTTGTTTTAAATTTAAAGTATTAAGTTTAAAGTATTAACTTTGGCGTTGCATGTTGCAATTTAATTTTTTCTTTTATCCGAATGTCTTAACATGTGTGTTTTCATATTGCTTTTTTGTCTAAATTTTGCTTTACAAGTGTCACATTCAAAAGGACGAATGTGTTAGTTTGTGATTTTCCAATTTGGTTTCTCGTTTAAATTTTGCTCTGCAAGTGTCAAATTCAAAAGAATAAACATCCGAATGAATTAGTTTGTGACTCTTCAAATGCTGTTTTAGTTTTAATTTTGCTTTACAAATGTCACATTCAAAATAATAAATATACGAATGTGTCAGTTTGTGTCTTTTCAAATGATTTTTTCGTTTAAATTCTACTTTACAAGTGGCACATATAAAAGAATAAATATTCGAATATGTTAGTTTGTGTTTATTCAAATCACCTTTCCGTTTAAATTTTGCTTTGAAAGTGTCACATTCAAAAGAATAAATATTCGAATGTATTAGTTTGTGTTTTTTCAAATCAACTTTTTGTTTTAATTTTACTTTACAAGTGTCACATTCAAAAGGACGAATATCCGAATGTGTTAGTTTGTAATTTTTCAATTCGGTTTCTCGTTTAAATTTTGTTCTGCAAGTGTCACATTCAAAAGAATAAACATCCGAATGAATTAGTTTGTGACTCTTCAAATGCTGTTTTAGATTAAATTTTGCTTTGCAAATGTCACATTCAAAATAATAAATATCCGAATGTGTCAGTTTGTGTCGTTTCAGATGGTTTTTTCGATTGAATTTTGCTTTGCAAGTGTCACATTCAAAAGAATTAATATTAGAACAGACATATTTCATTCATCTTCCGGTTCATCCATATTTTTTCACGTGGGTGAACATTGTTTTGTTATCAAATTACTTAGAAAATTATTCCGATATAATCAGGGGAAATTGATTAAATTTGAAACGAAAATCCCATTGCTGCATCATTGCTTATTAGCTGTTACGTTAGGAGAATCACGTAGGATTTTTCAATCATGTAATACCTAAATAACTATAAAAAATTTAAAGTAAAAAGTAATTTCTAATTTCCACCCTCCTTTTGGGAAGTCTTGCCCCATTTTGATATGGATAAGGTATAAATCAGGGATAAGGTATAAATTATGATTTATGCCTGCCTTCTTGTAATTGTGAGTTCTGTTGCCTTCAGTGCCACGAAAGCTTTGATTTTTCAGAATTTTTCCCCGTTTGATTGAATGAAATCGGGGGTAGAAAATGTTAGTTCAGACGTAAGTCGAAATTGAATTTATTGTATGAGGAAGGTGTGTATTGAAATAATAGTTACTTATGATATTAGGCCAACAAGTGGGTCTTTTTGTGCTGAGCTCGACATTTGAATTCAGTACGAGTACAATCAAGCGAAGCACGAAAAGACCTTCTGGGCCGAATGGCATACAACATTTAGTCCAATGACTTATTGCTAATAGATGGCGCCACGGCCCTGGTGTCCAGAGCAGGTAAATAATAATAACAGAACTACTTGACATACAGACACAAACAAAATAAATATAGAAAGGACCCTGCCCAAAGTATACGGAAATTGTGTTTATGTCAAAATTGGCTGAATTTTGTATGTAATGTAGATCAAGCCTTTGTGATTAAAAGTTACCATTGCACTAATTCTGAAAAATTACTATACGTGGCACACCAATGCGCCACAAGCTTACCTATTTGTGTTACATTGTATGTACTTGAACACTAACTTATTATATAAAGTCAGAATTTGTAAGATTATCCACTTTTCTTCAATTTGCCTTTCAACAGGAAGTAGTAATGTTATTTTACCAAAATAGTAACGTAATATGACAAGTTATTCAAGTAAAAACGAGTGGATTGTTGCGTAATTTATGGGTGGACCCCTCGCTGCGCTCGTCCCGCAGTCATCTATTCATTAATACGTTGTTCAAGTACGATACTAACCTGACACTCAAATGTCAGTTATTCTCATTAGTTCAAAAACTATAAGTTTCAGGTGAGTGTCTTATTTGAATAGTTCAACAGTATATTGGTGAGTAGATGGCTGCAGAACTCGCTGCGCTCGTCCCGCAGAGGTCCACCGATAAGTTCCGCAACAATCCACTTATTTGTACTTGAACAAAAAATGTTGTGACAAGTTATTCAAGTACAAATGAGTAGATTGTTGCGGAACTTATGGGTGCACCCAGCCATCTATTCACCAATATGTTGTTCAAGTACAATAATAACCTGATTCACTCAGTTGTGAATTTTTCTCATTAGTTCAAAAACTACACGTTTCAGGTGAGTGTCTTATTTGAACAGTTCAACAGTATATTGGTAAGTAGATGGCAGAGGTCCACCCATAAGTTCCGCAATAATCCACTTATTTGTATGTACGTTCATTACAATGTCCAAGTGTTTTACTTGCTACCTATGAAATTAATTTTCTCAAAAAGGAATCATTTTTCAGGATTGGTGCAATAGTAACTTTTAATCAGGAAGGCGTCGTGATCCACATTATATACAAAATTCAGCCAATTCTGACATAAACACAATCTCCGTATACTCTGGGCAGGGTCCTTTCCTTTGTGACTACTCATTATGAATAAACTATGCTCTTGAGAACTTGATAGTTGACGCTGTGGCTCAATTCAATGTTTATCTGTCAATTCCTGTTACAGAAAAATTAGTGTCAAGTGTAAGAGAGATAGAACCATTATTAGGTGAAAAACTATACAGAGGGAGTGAGATGAAATCGATTTTTGTCTATTCCCGGCTCTTGAATTCAACTCGGGCATAAAAAAATTGATTGAAAAGTGACGTTCAATTCAATGTTCAATTTGTCAACTCCTGTTACAGAGAAATTAGTGTTAAGTGTGAGAGAGAATGATAGAACCATTACCAGCTAAAAAACTAGATAGAGGGAGAGAGATGAAATCGATTTTTGTCTATTTCAGGCTCTTGAATTCTCTCAATTTAAAGAAATTTGAGAGCCGGGAACAGACAAAAATTGGAAAGGAATAGTTAAGCGAGAAAATTAATGAGAATTGAAAATTGAGAGAAATT